GCATTCGCCATTTATCATGTATATATATACAAATATATGTATATATACAAATATATATATATATATGACGGGCACGAAAGCCGCCCAAAGTCAACAGAATAAGAGAATGAAAAAACATTTTGCGCACAATTATGATAATAAATGCAGCGGAAAAGCATTTCACAGCTGTGCATTAAGCGGGGAAATGCCACAGCCGTTTTTGAAAATCTCGCTGCTCAAATTACACAAGGCGAAAATATACGTATATGGATTTGATAATAAATTCCAGAACATCAGAAAAAGAAATGAATATAACAAAAAATGATATACGAATTATATTCTACATAACATGTCCTTGACTTTTTCTTTAGATAAATTAATATTAATTACATAAATTAAAATTAATATTAATTTGTTTATTACAAAATTCAATTATCCGAATTGTACTATCGATCGATTTGATAAGCTTATTTCCGCAAATAATCTGAATAACATCAACCCCACTGTAGTAGAAAAAAAATTATGCAGCCCCAAAAAAAATTTTGGCAAACATCTGCGATAAGAATACAAAGCGATAAGCAAAGAAATTGCAAAACTAAGCATAAAAACAAACCGAAATTTGGGAGACCGAAATAGAGGGAGAGACAGAGCAGAAAAAACAACCCCAACAACAACTTGAACATTGCAATCGCACCACCCAACCAACTGTCTAATGCCCGTCCATGCTGACCCAATATGCATTTATACATAAATAGTCATTCATCACCCATGGCTGACACTTTCAAATATTGATAATTCGGATTAGAGGATTCTTATCAGACCTCACTTAGTTAACTTTACTTGTAATACTATCGAAGATATAGTTTAAATAGTTTTATCTCATTTCATTGCGAAATTTTCGCAGTAAGGCACTTGCTAAGTTTATAAATGTGCTTAGATTTAAGTCACTTTTAATAATATTTTAACTCTAACGTCTAATATATAATAATTATAAATAAATAAATAACCTTTTTTTATACTTTAATGTAAAATAATTTCTATCCCATTCTTTAAAAATTTCGAATATTTCTTTTATATTATATTACCCAAAAGTATTGCCAAAGACAATATTTTGGACAAACTTAATATAGCGTGGAGGTGAGCTAATGTAAATGAGTATATATTGAGCCAGACACAATTCCAACAAAACCAATATACCCCACTTCCATATGCACGAAACTAGAAACAAACAAATAAGCAAATTGAAGTCATATCAAATGAAGTGGAAAATTTGTTATCAAAACAGAACTGGGGTATTCAGGAGAAGAGAATACACATATACAAGAGGAGAGAGGAGAGCGTCCACCCAAGCCGATTTGGTTGAGGTGTTGAACAAATTGTCTCATCTGTCCAACTGTGGCGGACACATGATTTGCCATTATTGAAGAGCAAGTGTCAATCACAACAGGTTTCTGTTTCTGTTTCAGTTTCCATTTCGATTTCGATTTCGATTTCAGTTTACATTAAGAGCAAGAAAAGAGGTCAAAGTGCGTGATAGGTGCGTGTGAGAGGTGAGCAAATAGATGGGGTTGCGAAGCACTCATAGTTCAAGCTGTTGGAACGATTTGCATTTGAATTGCAAATGTGAGAAACGTTTTTTAATATGAGAAAGCAGAACAGAAATGGATGGATGCCTAGACGAATAGTCAATACACTAAACGCTTGAAGGATTAGAATATAGGATTGGAGAAGGTGCACAATGTATATATGAATTATCATATTCATAACTACCTATATACCATATTCCCATCTATATGTATATAGTCTATGGTACGGTATTGTATGATATGTAGGACAGTTCCAGTACCCATATAAAATGCACATAATTATAAATGTACATAATTCCTAACTACACCACCTTGTCTTCCAAAGAATTTCAATTTGCACACTTTCCTAATATACAAAATTCTTGAAATTTTGTGTTTACTAGAAAATCAATTATGAATTGTAATATGAATACCAATAGGTATTTTTCCCTATTATCATATTGCTATATTCACATATTCGTGAGCTGTCAGAGCTGTGGTTTGCGGGTCTTCGAATTCAAGCACAGTGGATCTCAAATTGTTGCACAAGGCGACTATATGTGAGTGCTTTGTCGTAAATCGTAAATCTAGAACAAACAGGCTGCAGAGCTTTAGTTGCATATTGTCTTAGCATGAAATATTTATACACACATTCCTTGGAATGTACTTAAAATCGAGCAACTATTTATTTCACCTGCCGTGGAATCTATATTTTTATAGAAGACTGCTGATATATGAACTTGTTCAAAGAAGAAATTCATATCTAGAGTTTTCTACATCTAGAATTAAATATTATATGATATATTCTAAAATGCAGAAAATGCGTAGTGGAGAAAGGGAAGTAAAATAATAAAGGAAATAATATATGTATAATACAAAATATATACTATATATAAATATAAAAAAGTCTACTTTCAATAAAATGCAGATATTTATTTTATACAAATATTATATATTTTATATAAATTAAACTTTGCATAAAAATAAAACTTCGCTAGGAAAACTTCAAACGGAACGGTCGGACGAGAAATTAGAGACTTCGCTTCAATCTCTGAAATAAAATTAATTTCTATTAACAAAATACTTTTTTTCAGAAAGACTAGTTCTATAGAGAGACTAATATAAATTAATTAATGAAAAGAATAAATAAATTGTAAATTAAATCTGCATAAAAATTCCATCCATCTTATCTTTATATATATAAAAAAAAATTTGATATTCCCTTAAATCTTCATATCCATAAATATGGTTTAGATTTAAAAAATTAGTAAAATTTGTTTCTATGCACATCTTTTCAGATGGACGATAAACCTATGCAGACTCTTTGTTCTACTTTCAAAAGTGGTCCATAAGCCGTGCTGAAATCGCATTACCCTGCGCTCGCCCAGCAACAAGCAACAAGCCATCGACCATTTGGTCAGCTGTGTTGTGTTGTGGCCCAGCAATTTGCTAAAGTGGCTTTTGCGGCGCGCTCCATTAGGCTCCACTCTGGCACACTAGCGCCCCCTCCCTCCTATCTCACACTCATAGCGAGAGCGCAGCAATTAGGGTAAGAGCGAGGCAGCTGAATCAGGAGCTGACACTGGCTGCCCCCCGCTAGCCCTGCCGCATACTCACATTTCTTCTGCTCATTCATTTGCTCCAAAATGTCCAGCAGCTTGGGCGCATCGCAGTGTCCGCTATGCTTCTCGACCACGTGCAGCTGCAGCTCCTCGGCCGTGAAGCCCAGCTCATCGCAGAAGGCGCACTTGTAGCTCTGCGGAGCCTCGCCATTGACCATCTCCTCGCCGAGGAAATAGAGCTCAAAGAAATCGCGATTATAGATAGCTTTCATGGGATGATAGTACTTGTGCTTCTCGCTGGGCACATTCTTGCCCTCGTCATAGCAGTCGCCGCAGTAGGTCACCGAGTCGCCACAAACGATGCACTCGTAGCGCCTGCCCAGGTTGCCCTTAGCCGGGCAGCTCAGGCACTTGGCAACGTGCATCTTGGTGGCATCAGTCAGAGACGACATCGCGATAGTCAATTACCGTCAATATAAAAGGCAATTGGTACAAAATTATGGAAAATGAACGCAGAAGGCCGACAGCTGTTGCCTTCCCAAATGTATTTACACTTTTTTTCTCGTCTTTTGTTTAGTTTTGATATATAAAAACTTTTTTTGTTTTTTTGTTTATAATTTTACGTTTGCGCTCTTCAAGCTGTACGAATAAAGTGAAGCTTGAGCATTTGCTTCGTGTCAGAAAGGAGACGTTACGTTCACACTTTCGGCGCTGCCAACTTGATTTATGAAGTGGAGAAAACGGAAGTAGAAGAGGGGGCAACACTTCACAGATAGCTGTGGAAAAACTTTAGCGCATATGGAAATGAAACACAATTCCGAAGCGATCAGAAACTGAAATGGATTTGAGAAATATCAACAAAAGGTCTGTGGATCAGGGAAGAATCAAAAAGAAAATCTATAATACGGAATTAATTCATATCTACCATACCATTTGAGATATAATCCGGTAAAGGAATGGAAAAATGACGCTAATTACTTAGTTCTTAAGACAAAATAATTTAAAAGTTGCCAGATATGTAAGAAAGCAACAATAAGAAAATCAAGTTCTATTAAAAAATGTTTAGAAATTATTCATTTTATGATTTATTCTAATTCACAATGTTATGCAATAATTAAAAATAAATAAATATAAATAAATTATCATCCATAGTATATTTAATTAAGTAGAGCCTTGTAAGCTTTGAATAGGTTCTCATATTCCAACCCATATTCCATATATTCTCATATTCCAACTTTTTGCCCTGGAGATTGAAATAAGAAATCGGAACAGATGCCATCACTAAGCAAATTATCAATTTGCAACTATTCAATAACAAGTTCAATAATTCCGATAACACAATCTAAAAATCGTTAGTTTTTCCAGGAATTCTATTTATGCGCAAGTTTTGTCAAGTTTTGTTAGAAACCAAATAATTAGTATTTTTTTTTTTTTTTTTCTGTTCAGTTTTACATACTTTTTTATGCGCTAGTTAATTATTTTTGGGCGCATTTTCGTTAATTTGAATTCTTCTTCTTCTTTTTTTTTTTTTTTTTTGGCCAATAGCTTTATTGAATGCAAAAAGTTGCAGCATATTTTGTATATAAATAATAAATTGCAATTTGTATATATATTTTTCTTGCATTTTTCTGCTCCATTTTTCGTATTATTTTCTTTCCATAAACTCTTTCATACGCGCTATTAACCGCTCATTATATGGATACTCCTCCCATTGTCAATTTCTATTCGAAAATTCCCTTAGTAACCGTAAACCTGATCAATTTCATTGACCAGCATGGCTATAGTTGAATCGGATGTCTCCGAGCCCGAGTTATCATCGTAATCTTCCTCCTCCTCATCCTCAACATCACCTTCCCCTTCAGCTTCGCCCTCGCCATCGACATCATCCACTTCGATAACCACGTCGTCGTCCTCGACCTGAGGATTATTGTGCTCATTGATGATATTGACAGTCACAACATTGCTCTCGACATTCGGTTGAGCCACCTCCTGGTCCACACCGCTAGCCGCATCATCCTCTTCGTCGCGCTCATCGGTGTCGGGATCCATGTCCGAGTCGATGCCGACTGGATCGTGTGTTGCCTGCAAGATCATGTCCGGCACAGCGACTACCTTCGAGTTCTGCTCCTGCTTCTTAATGGCGAAGTCAGCTAGCCACTTTTTATACAGATCGAGATTCTTATAGAAGCGATCCATGTTGCAAACTGGCGCAGCGACGTCGCTGCCCGCCTCCTCTAGAGTCTCCTTTGTGGCCTCGGCCGGGGCAGTACTTGTTAGTGGTGCTTTGGTCACGATGGGAGCTGCCAATGGCATTGTAACTGGCTCCAGTTGCTCGTCGGCCAGCATGGAGCACAGCAGAGCTTCAGTGAAGTGCATACGATATGCTTCTGGTGGCAGACTGTGCTGCGACTGCGACTGCGACTCCTCCATGTCTAGAAACTTGGTGCATAGAAATTTATTCAAATCGCCACTCTCATTGCTGGCCTTCTCCTTGCTCTTTTCCTTGCTCTTATTCTTGTCCTTGTCTTTGTTCTTGTCCCGCCCATCACTGATTCCGGATACATCGCGCAGGATGTCCGCATAGGTGGTCATGAGCCTCTCGGCCCGATGCTGCTGCTGATCCATCAGACTCGACGAGTGCGCCCAGTACGAGACCCAATCATCCCCGCCCGTGCGCCTGGGCATCTGCGAGCTCACCTTGGGAAAGAGCGTGCCCAGGCGCATGGTTGCCGGCAAGTTGCGCAAGCGAGTCACTTTCGGACTACGCATGGTGCGAGCATCCAAAACGATGCCATCCGAGCGTGCCGAAGCAGGAGGCTGCGACACCGACGGCTGTTGCTGCAGTTGCTGCTGCAGCTGCTGATGCAGTTGTTGGTGCTGCTGCTGCTGCAGCAACTGCAGATGAGATCCGTGGTCCTGAGGCGATCGCACTGCAACATTCAGACAATGATTGGTCGTATAGTAACGAGGAGTGTTATTGTTGCTAAAGCTCAGCTCCTCGAGCACGTTCAATGCCTGCTGCTCCAAGAGAGCGGCGCGTCGAGCCTGGGTCATGCGTACAGCCTCACGGAAACTGACCGCTGAATCGATGACGTTGCGCTGTGCGGCAACAGGCAGCATTGGGCGCTGCGCGGGGGCGATTGCCCGCTGCCGTAGATAGCCCGTTGTCGGGGTAGTAGCCGCACGCGAAATCGAACCCGAATTCGAGCCAGAGCCAGAGCCTGATCCCGAACCAGACCCAGCACCAGAACCAAATCCAGAAGCCGAACCATTTGCCGAAACACTTCCGCCATTCGCAGTCAAACGCACCGTGGCGGCTGCTGCATCCGCCGTATATCTGGTATACAGTATGCTGAAATATTCATCGAAATCACTGTGGCCGCGATGCACGTCCGACAGATGCTTGTAGAGCTGCAAGGTCGTAAATCCAAGCTGATTGCACAGCGCACACTTGTAGCTCTGCGGCACATTCGTCTCCGAGTAGGCCTCGCCCCCAAAGTAGAGCTCGTACTCGGCGCGTGTATAATGCACCTCCAAGGGATGGAAATACTTGTGCTCCGGCAACTGGGGCAACTGGCCCGAATCGTAGCAGTTGCCACAGAGCTGATAGCCAATGCACATCCAGCAGGCATAGCGACGTCCGACAAAGGCAGCTGCCTGGCACTTGGAGCAAACGTAGCCGAAATGACGTTCCGGCGGCTGGACAGACGTTGGAACCATGGCTTAAAGGTAAACAATTGCGATTAGGCTACGAGACGTGATCTCTAACTGAAAAGCTAGCTGCAATTGAAGTTGTATATATCAAATGTAGACATACATATATACAATATTTATATATATATGAATATACATGTATATAAATTTACTTCTTTCGATTCGAAGAAGTTCTTTGTATATATTCACACTCCAATTGCATAAATAAATTTCTGTCTGTTCTCATAGAAATTCGTGTGCTTGCTTTTTCATTAATTCATTGTTTTTCCTTTAACTTACTTTCGTTTTGCACTTTGAGTTTTTGAATAAAATGAATTAAATTTTCAGTTTTCGCTTCTTTTCTTCAACTGCTCTCAACTTTTTTTCACTTTGACAATTTAGCTTGCAGCTCGCTAAAAAAAAAAGTAAATGACATGAGCAGTTAGCTCGTTGCCTTTCACACACAAATACGTTCACACACACACGCAGCTTGCGTTCCACACGTTCCACAATCGCCTTTCGCAGCGCTGCCAACTTCGTTCGTTTCTCTGCTTCGTCGTGTGTGTCGCTATAATATTGGTCTTTTATTTAAAATAATTATTTGTCTTCTTTTTGAAATTTTTATTTTCTTTTATTTATTTTTTTTGAGGTGATCTCGAGTCTATGAAAAACTTGAAAATAATGTGCTCTATTATTCATTTGGATTACCAAATTGTTTTTGACGCAAAGCCTGCTGAGCAAAATCGAATTAATCGTGTATCGATAGATCAGTCAATCGAAAATTGAGTAAGCTCAAAAATTTCCCAATGCAAAATGAGCTCTTGCACAATAACAATCAAATGGAGTTGATAAGGCTATAATATAATAATAATATAATTATATGTGCCATTGGGTCATAATGGTAGTAAGATTTCTGTTTTTCCTCTGAAGTTACGTTTTTGAAATACAAAAAATATTCACAAAAATTATATTTCATATTTTATAATAGTAAGACATATTTAAGTAATATACAAATAAATATATTTTAAGAAAAGTTTCAATATTTATTATTATTGGGTGAGATAGTGTATACCCGAACAGTATAAAAAATGAGTTGCTAATATCAAGAAAATGAATTATTAAATGATCATTATATAATTTGATGATTGAATGAGTTTTAGTTATTAGTAATAATGACCGGGAGGAGTTCTTTGCCAGCTGGAGCCTCAGTTGAATGTAATGAGAGATATGTGGGACAGTTATGCTATTTGTAATACCAACAGTTTATGTGATAGATGGGCGGCACTTTTGTATACGCACGTTCGCTCGAATTTGAAACCAAATCTTGTTAAGTGAAGGCGTATAATTTCATGTCTAAGAATCTATTCTATGCACATATGCATACGCAGTTTCTTCGTCAAGTATAAGTGGTTAAACCGTTTATCAATACTTTTTTCACTGACTGTCTGTTTACATATGCAAAGAAATTCCCTGGAGAGAGGTGCTTAAGGAAAAGCTGAATTGCTGCTTATTATTGAAAACTTTATGAATAGTTACATACATAGCTAAAATTTGGAATTTCATCTTCTATTATTTAAGATATGGATATAAATAGAGAAACTCTATAAACTTCTGTAAAGAATATTTCAGAAATTAAATAATAATTATGAAATATGTGCACCTTATTTAAGAACTGGTTTTATATTTTGTCAAACAGATAAAAACTTTCTTTTTTTCTTGTCTCCCTCTCTCTCTCCGTGTTTTTTATTTCATTTATTAACACCTGCACACACTTTTATATTTAGTTTCGCAATAAAAACCAATAAATTTTGTTTTTCCACAGGTAATAAATTAACTTTTTACTAAGCCCAAAAAATGAGTTTTGTATGAATTTAATGTCTGTGGCCTCAGGGACTTTTGTGTAGGCACATGTGGATCGCCAGTCATGCGATTATGTGCCAACAGAGTTGGCCTTTAGGGGCGCAAAAAAAAAAAAAAACAAGGAAAACTACAAACTCTCATTAACATAATAAGCATCATTATAGAAATTTAAAGCAGCGTAAAATGCAGCTCTCCACATTGAGGCAGCCGGTTGACCTCAATGAAAATAATTTCGCCTTTTTCTCTCGAGAGTTTTGCCAACTTGCATTTCACACATACAAATGTATTTTTACACATGTGTGTGCATGTTGAAAAAGAGCTGTTGACATTTCACGCTTTTAATTAAAAATTGTGCAGGTAAAGAAAGGTGTACAAGAACAACAAACAAACAAACAAACAACAATTTGTGCTAAATGCAGCTTAGAAAATGTTCCATAAATTTGCAAAATGTTTTTAATTGAAATCATTTGGCGCTGTTGATGACATGATTTACCTTAATTAAATATGCCCACACACGGACATATATGTACATATATTTATAAATATATGTGTATATACATTTGACCTCAGGCCGTCAACTGTTTACCAAAAAATCTGCTTATGACAGCCAAACCAATTTGTCAGACTTCAGCTAAATGGGCCATGTGGAGTTTGGCTTGCTCTAAAGAGCCAACGCTCTCAGCCTTTGCCAACAAATAAATAAAAGGATACAGCACACACACAAACATACACACAAATTAAGCCATGCTCAGAAATTCTTCATTACAATAAGCAAAAAAAAAAAAAAGAAGACGAAGAAAAAAGCTTAGCCCTTTTTACCAAGCCAAAAGCAGATTTAGAGAATTTCCAGTTAAATTTATAACTAAAGAGTATTTTATTATTTAAGTCCCAATATTATGTTTTATAGTAAAATGTTTAACAAAACTTTCAGTAAATTGAAATTGAATTTATAATTTCCTTTACTTTTGTTTAGCTATATCTATATATCATCTTTTCATGTTATATCTATGCTAACTACCTCACATTTTTCGGCCAATTACACATTTCTCTGCTCTTCCATTGTAAATGCCCCAACATAGAGCCAATTAGCTTAAAAGCAACATAAATTTGGCTCAAAGCTATAAAACAATTGCCAAATGCAAAAATTCCAGAAAACTTTTAAAATAAATATCAATTTAATTTTGAAATAAAAAAAAACTCATTTTTAAGTACTTTTTAACATCAGTGCAAAGTGCTGCACTGCACGAAAATGAGTTTTTCCATAAAATAAATTACAAAATTAAAATGAAAGCAAAGAAGAAAAAAAGACGATTTTTCATTGTCAGCAAAAAATCTTGTGCATATTGCAATAATTATTCCTTAGCGAAAAGTTGCCAAAGGCTGCACAGACGAAGGAGAACTAAGTGTGAAAAATACATATATGCATGTAAATACACATATAAACATATATACACACATATATATGTATATACAAAATATTCCCGAGTGTCTGCTTAATATTCATAAAAGCATTTTAATTTGCATTTAATTTCATTATTTTGTGCCACTGTGTTCAGCTGCCTTCGCTAGTGTGCGGGTGGCGTGGAAGGCGTGGCAGCAGCAGAAGCAGCAGCAACTGGGGCGTGGCACTGCCTACCTACCCATATGCATTGCCAATTATCAAATAATTTGCACGACTTTCAGCTCGCTACAAATTGAATTAAAAACCATTTTGGGGACTGTCCAGGGTTGCCAACAACCACCAAGATGCAGGCAGGCAACCCTGCTTGAAAGTGACAAATTTTGCACAATTAAGTATTAATAGGCTTACAATACATATATATGTATGCATATATATCAATTTATATTTAAATTTGCAGAGATTTTGATTCGCTTTACTCACAATTCGCATTGACGGCAACCATGTTGATTAGGGCTATTCCCGCTAGCTAAACTTTTAACTTTACTATATTACTACAGAAATTTCTTACACAATTTCAAATTCGAATTTCGATTTTTATTTTCTTTTTTTCGCGACGCTGTTGACGCTTAGAAATTCGCTAACGAACTGAGCTAGCTGAATGCCTGGCTGGCCGCAACAAGAGCAACTCTGATGTGGCCCAAAGGCAAGCGACAATAAAAAAAATAAAAAAACGGAAAAAAAATTGTAGAACGGCAACAAATGTTAGCCAGGACTCACATATACAGTTATGGACTGTCTATGCATGTGTAGCTTTTAATTCGTGTCGTGTCGCACAGTGTTTTTCAGTTGCCAAAAGGCAGTCGCTGCAGCAGCTGTTGTTGCTGTTGCTGATGTTGTTGTTAGAAAAAGTCGCCGGCGACATTCGTCTGGGCAGTCTAATTGCTTGGGCGGCGAATGGAGCACGCTCAACTAAACAGCTGATATGAGTCAGTCATTTTATTGAGTGAAAACTGTAGCAGTGGAATGTACGTATACGAATGTATGTGAAATCCAATGCTAAAACAAGACAAACAACGTTGCTCAAACAATAATTTCTATAAAATAAAAAATTATACAGAAAAAATCTAAATAACTCTGAATTCAATAAACAACTTTTCCCTAAAGTTATTTAGAGGAATATATTTTATATAGTTCATATATTCCACTCACTTAAATTTAACTGATTTTCATTTAACTGATGCATATCATTATAATTAATTATTGATAAATATTCATGTGTTAGAGTCTATAATGCCAATGCTAAGAAGGTATGTATGTCGAATTCTCTGAAATAAAGCATTATTGAGAAGCTATAATCCATATATCACTCAAAGTAATCATCATCTCTATTATAAAAGGAAGCAATTCATATAGAAGTTGATCGAAAGAGTGTATCGATTAGTCATATTACAGTATTCTGCGAAGCCGCTTGCTTTATCTATACAATTTGTACCTATCCAAGCAAGCTACTTAAAGATTATGGTTATCTCAGATTATTAAGATTATTAAGTATCCCATATTTATACTAACAAATAATATTTTAAATAGAATAATATTTTCTATTGAAATCATATCAATAAATCATATCGATAAATCGACAATTCGATCAGAGGAATTTATATGGAAGACAATTCATACATCGATCTCTTTGATAAGGCCTTAGCAGTGGTTGATCATATTTAACTGATAGTTTACTTAAAATTATTTTTTCAACTTGAAGAGGGGAGAGTGAAAACGAATCAGATGGAAGACATTAAACCAAACATGAGTTTAGAATGAATCAGTTGAGATTGATATTTGCACTCCTGCTCTTGTACGTGTCGTTCCGTTCTTCTACTGTTCCATTTCTCGTATTGTTTAGCTCAGTGCACCTGCATCAACATGGCATTACATCGATTTACTCGCTCGACAAACCCAACTAAAGCCGCCCCAAAACTGAAGAACAAACTAGAAAGAAGAAGGACGTATAAGCTGTGCATTCCATTTTCAAATGCCACGCCCCGACGTGCCACAAATAGCAACTCGCCCCCACACATAGCCGAAGCCAACGCGTATGCTCCATGTTGTCTCTACTATAAGCCCTGAGGCCCGAGTACGTGCCTTGTAGTTGTTCTGTATGCCCAGCAGCCACTTTTGGCATTGATTGCCCGCAGCGAAAGAGTCGGCGTTCTACTGCAAGACAACATCACACATACGACACGTTGGCCGAGCGGGGGAAGAGCGACGAAGGCGAGAGGCAGAGCTGTGTTGAGCCTGTCGCTGGCCAAAAAAATGTTGGTAAACAGCTGGCCAAATGGAGGAGGCACAA